TCCCTACCAGGGAGACTTCACATGGGGATGCAGTGGAACCATCTACTACCAGTGAAAAGTAGGAGCTGTACTGTCAGGTTTTCCCTCAAAAGGGAAAAAGAGGGGGGGAAAACCCTCTTTTCCTCTGTATGAAGCAATTTTCCTGTATTTACTGAACAAAATTCAAACTGCTGAATAGAGGCCACAACTCCCAATCTGCAATCCATCGTCTAAAGCACCACAGAAAACAGCCTGTTCATGGGAGCTTGATGCAAGATCACAAGACTTGAAGTTTTCCACTGAGCAACCCTTGGGAATAGGCTCTGAACACTGACTGCTGCTTTATCCTCTGCTGATGGATGATGCACAGCACCAATTAATGCTTTAACACTGGAAGTTCCAGTTTCTCCAGCTCTCTGCTTAGCCTGCTTAATACAACAAATTTCTGAAGGCAAACAAATAACTCAAAATCCAGATTTAATGAGCCAAAGAGACAAACTTTGAAATGTTTTTAGAAAAAAAACCACCTCAGAACATTTAAAACATAACAGCAAATTTTTCCTCTGATCTGTCCAGTGAGCACAGTGCAAAATTGATTGTGTAGAATTTGAAACTGTAACAAGGCAGCACCTAATGAGATCAGCTGGTAAACAGGATTAATTCAGTTTTCTTTGGAAGTATCAGTTGTGACCTGCATCACCACAGAAAGCAGCTGGGCACACACAAATGTTTGCCCACAATGTGAGACCACCCCAGAACACGAATCAATTAACTCTCTCATTAGGAAAAACGTGATGCTGAAACAGCAAGAGGCATAAATGAAAAAAAAAATGCTAACAGACGTATGGCAACACATTAATGGCACAGCAGGGGCAGCCCAGTCCTGCCCTTCTGCGCCCTACCAGAGTTCAGCACAAGTCTAAAAAACCTTGTGTTGGCACTGTGGTTTATGACTTGGATTTCAGAGCAGATGTCTGGTTAGCACCTACTTACTAGCCAGTGATGCATGCTGATTTTTTTATTACTAATAAAATTAATTACATCTACAGAATGAGCCTCTGCATCTTGGATGCTGCTCAGGTTTTGCTTGCGACTAGAAAAGTTGGAGGAATCCCACAACTCTCCCATTAGCATAAACATTGGTTCACAAAACTGCTTAACACTGACACCTCATTACTGTTAGGAGCTGCAGTGACAGGACAAGAGGCAATGGGGACAAATTGAAAGAGGGGAAATCTAGGTTAGATATTAGGAAAAAGTTTTCCCTGTGAGGGTGGTGAGACACTGTCCCAGGTTGCCCAGGGAGGCTGTGGCTGCCCCAACCCTGGCAGTGTTCACAGCCAGGTTGGCTAAAGCCTTGAGCAACCTGCTCTGGTGGGAGGTGTCCCTGCCCAGGGCAGGGGGTTGGGGCTGGGTGATCTCTAAGCTCCATCCCAACCCCTAAAATTCTATGATTCCTGAGTATGAAGAATCATATACAATAGTCATGCAACTGCACATAAACCTCCCTACTGCTTAGTTTTGTGACCTCTGTTATTTTTGGTCCTTGAGGGAAGTTCCAGTAAAACAGACAAACCCAGCAGAAAATTAACAGATACTGTGAAAAAAACTAGTTTGTGGTAATTCTGTCGCATCTCATCTACTTGCCTTTTGCACACTTGATGCTGAGTCAAAGGCCCCCAAAGAAAGGAGTTAATTCAGTATGAAATTAATTGCTTACTGCTGATCTAGAACAGCTAAAGAGAAAGGGAATTGCCAAAAGAAAAGGAAAACAGACCACTAGATCTCATCCAACACTTGTGCCAGGTGAGTACAGAGACAGGGAGTGCCAAGAGCGGCAATAGGAACACAAACTTTTACAATGTTTATTTGCTATTCATTTCAGAGTATTTGGAACTGATCCACTGCTTAAATGAACTGAACTTTGCATATGTCACTGCTCTGTAAAACAATTAGGAAAAAAAAAATCCCAAGCAAAAATTGAACACTTACCATGTCTGCTCTTTGCTTGTGGTTTCCCATTTCTTCCAGAACTTGAGAGAGCTGAGCCTTCAAGACATAAAAAAAAATTAAGTATAGGACGTAATTTTGGAAGTTTCACAAGACTTCACACTGTGTTTTCCCCCCAACCAAAACAATCACCAAGACACCATGATTTTCATGGCATTGAAAAGGAATTATAAGTGTGTTTTGTCCTGACAGAATCCCATTCCATGAGACAATCCTGTCCCAAAGAGCCTGAAGCCTACATACAGGAGAAAGGAGTATTGAAGAGAATAATTCCACTAGATTAGCTAAACCCAAATTTCAATCCCATGGTCCAGACAGAACTGGGCCTGAATTCCATCTCTTTGGAAGCTGCAGAAAGAGTGGACTAAAACCCACCCAGAATTGCCAAACTCAGCCTTAGTGTTTGGCTCCAGAGCTCTTGAAAGGAGTGTGTGATTCAAGGTAACTTCTGTCAAAGATCTGTGGTCCAGGGTTGGGTTTGGAAGCTTTTCAAATTGCTGTGATCAAGCACCAAGAAAATCTCTGTAACACAACCCTCCTGAATTTCTGTGAGAAAAGATCCCATATAAGGTGGGTTTTTTCTCTTTTAAAGGGAAATTTGAAATGTAAAGAATCTCAAACCAAAGCATAAATATCTTTTGTAATTCCTGCATAATTTGGGGGGAACTTGACTCGGAGAAGGATCTTTTCACAGAGTTTTGTTTATGAAAAAGGATTTAAAATGAAATTATTTTGGAGATGGCTAAGAGAAGCCACATATAATACTTGAATGCTTTTAACTTCCCACATCTTTTATTTCCCAACACTCTGCTAGCCTGCAATCAGCTCTTCTCTGCCTAGCAGAGAGCCCAAAAAATAGTCACAAGTGATGACAGAGAAGCTAAATTAGATAATATAAACAAAGACAAGAAATAAAAACAACTTTCCTACAAACTAATTCACGTAATTTCAAGCAAATATTCATTAAAACCCTCCAGAGTCCCTCAACCAATTCTCACCACACACGAAATGGGGCTTTTGAGTACTACATCCAAGCCAGAGACAAACAGCAAGCAGTTTATTACAATGAAAAGGAAAACATTGAGCTTTGAAGGCTAACTGCACTGAAATGCAAGCAAACAAAAAATTACAGTCTCAGGGTTCAGCACAGCAGAAGTTCCATTTTGCCAACAAAACAACCCAACAGTTCAAGATTTCCCTGGCCCCAGAGCTCAGTGGAAACTGAAAAAGTTTCAGCTTCTTGCTGTGCAGGGCCTGGGATGATGTGACATTATGTAAGGAACAGACACTCAAATAAGAGGAAAAGGGTTTGTATACAAGCCTGGGACCTGGCACGGGAGAATGAAACACACTCATTAAACACTGCAGGGGATGCCAGCCCCAACCAAAACTGGAGTACATGGACAAGCAAGAGAGAGGAAGAAATGAAATTATCACCAAGTTTGATGCTGAAACATCAGGAAACTATAAATGTGCAGACACCTGGGAAATACTTTTTTCTCCACTGCTGTTGACCCAGGTACAATGAGCAGCAGGCTGGAGCCAGGAGTTGCTTGGACAAGAATTAGAACACATGCCCTCAGGGATGCTATTTAGGAGAGTTGATGGCATAAACTTTACAACACCCCGAGACCTACTGAATATTTTTGATTAACAACTTTTCTGTATATTTATTAGCCTCATCTGTATGAATACGACCTTTAGGTGGGAATCACTAGCCTATTCTAAACCAGACATAGGAATTACTGAATTAAGAATTACATTAAGAATAACATCTTTTCTACAGTAGCTACCATGCCCGAATTTGGTAGTCATGTCTCTGTTCAGCCTCCTCTCAGTACAGACTCCTCTAGACCCACATGGCAATTCACACTGGAAGAGGAGCTCAATCCCCTGCAGCTTTGGTGGGCACCTGGCATCCAGCCTGGATCAACCCACCTCACTCTGCCAAGCTTTGTTCACCTTCACAGAGTAAATATTTTTCTTTTAATATCAATACAACAGTACCCTAAGGCGCCTGTTTAACTAGATGGGTAGAAGAACATTTTAAAGCACAAGACCTTGATAAAAGTCAGAAAAAAAGGATAGCAAGGACCCTGACACATTTTACTTCAGGAAGAGGCTACAAAAACCTTTAGACAAGAGAGAAATAATACAAAGGGATGGGAGAAATTGAAAATACAAGCAGGGAATATTCCATAATTTATTTTAGATATAATATGCCTTGGGGAAAAATAACCCTCTGAAGGTGCTATGCCAGCAGAGACCCCGAGGCAAACCTGGACAGGAAGTCCAAGCCAGGAGCATGATAACAGCAGATCAATGTGATTTGGAGAAGCAATCAGGTAAGGACTAAGTCACAAAGTAGGTTTTCTTCATTGCA